AAGAACACTACCTCTCGAAGCTGCATTTCTCTTGGCCTCAGATGTGCTGTATCTCTGGTTTTCCACCCAGAGGCACCAGAACTATATTCGGAAGTTATAGAGATTCAGCTGACGAGGCAAGTCATGATATGTTCATCAGATTTTGTTTGTCTGTGGCGCCACGGAATTTCAAATAAAGTAGTTTTCTTATGATGAGTTTGAGTTGTTAAACCCCACAACTCACAAGGGCACTGTTTTTCTTGGCAGATCCAAAAATTTGCCCTAAGATTTTCAACATCTTGCGAAATTGATTCATTTGTGAGCATTCTCAAGGTATTTATCATGAATTCCTTTGATGGCACGGTTTAATGGAAGATATTTGTCTACTAAAAGCTAGCTGCTGCTATTGTGCTTTTCTCCTGTTTCAGGAGATGTCGAAGGATGCAAGAGATATACAACCAATAAGTTGCGATTTTGGATCTCAGATTTCGTCTGAGTTATTATGTTCAAATACAAATAGGCCGTCTGACAGGTAAATGGAAATTATCTAATAATCAAATGCATCATTTTCTTTTTACAGCCACAGACTCAGAGAGAGAGAGAGAGATTTGATGTATCTTATGTTTCCAGCCTCTCTGAAGAATTGAGCAATTCTACCGTGCTCCAGCCTTACACCCCTGAAATGCCTTTGAGCTTAAAAGATACTGCAGAGAAATACTCACCTTCTCAGGAAAATGTACATGTTGACCACTTAGAAAGCATATTTGCAGCGTTGCCACCCAGTTTCACGTCTATGGTATCGAACTGTTCAGATGTCAAACAAGGTAGATGCCATGACAAACTTATAGCCAAAAAATATTTCAAATCATTGTTATTGATCAGTTCCCTTCGTTGTAAGGTCCAACTGCGACGCCACCATCTGCTACAAAGGATAATGATCTAAAGTCTCAAATCATGGTATGTTTCATTGTTACCAAATGGAATTTTCTTTGCGATACCCTCTATTAAATGGTTTGATCTAATATTGAATTTTTTCTTGAACTCAATATTGTACATTTCGTATCATCATCGTTGGGTTTTTATCTTTTTGATTTTTTTTTTTTTTTTTGGGACAGAAATGTATGGAAGATTCTTCCTTTCAAGGTACGTTTATATCAACACTTGTCTAAACTTGCAAATGTTTCCATGACGCCCTGCATTTTAGGAACTGTTTTAGTCGATTCAAGATGGTAGAGTTAGTTCTGTGAAATCTTGCACCAGACTGAAAGACTAAGCTTATGGTTATAACTAAACTCAACAGAAATCTTAACAAAATTACTGATACTTAACGGAAAATGCCAGAAATAGAAATGAAACACATTCCGGAGGTCCAATTTCAGAATACGCATTTTGTTTGTTTTATCTGATTTATTTTCCTTTTGGGCTGGGCTTAGTTTTCTGTTAAGGCTCGTTTCTAAGGCCCGTGGAACCTATCAAAATCAGCTGTGTTGGGCCTATTTTAAGGCTTTTCTCCCGTATATTTTTCAGTCAGCTCAATAATACACGACATTTGTTCCAAAAATAATAAAATTAAAAGATTAATAATAATAAAAAAAAAAAAAACACACAAACAACAACGTCTCAACAATCAGATGACGTTAAAACAGCCAGTAACATAATTTTGAAGTGCATGTCAGCTTCATTAGATTAGATGCCAAGGTTAGGAAATGCTGGGAATTTCTCTAGCTTACCATAGCAATATCTCTAGAAATGCGCCTTCTTTACTAACGGGATGCAATTTCAAATAATACATTTCCAATTCGAGAAGTAAATTGTTTATTCTTATATAATACACTGTAATATTAAATACTGATCTGTTGGTTTAAATTCTTGGTGATTGCTAGATATGTTGAACAGAGTTGAGAAAATTGTCGGCGAAATTGGAGGTGATTTGGCGCTGTAATTCTCAGGGTAATGTCCATAATACTTGAATCCTTAAGATGTCTTTCCATTAGCCCCCATCGGCGGCCATATTATTTTCGCACACACATTATTCTAGTTTGCACTTATATACGGAATATTTGAGTTAATTTGACATCTCATAGGCCTCTTATTATTAGAATCCAGTTTCAATTGTGAACTAAGATTCCCTGGAGGATGCTTGGAAAAATCTTAAGAGATAAAAAAGATGAAATTAGATATTATATAATTTGGTCAAAAAGAAAATTGGGAATTATAAAATTGGTTGGTCCTAATTTGGGACGAGAAGGTTATGAGATGAAATCAAGTGGATTGATTGGTACTGACTACAAGAATTAAGAAATAATAGAATTAATATAGATTGGTTTGCCAAATAAGAAGAATGATAAACTAAACCACCAAACATGGACGACAGAGGCATTGCCCTCACATCGCCCTGGGGGTTGCAAATACAAATTAGGACCAAACCCATAAAACAAAAACAGAAAGACAATGAATTTCAGTAGTCACTCTTCAAACAGTCGGATGGCGTTCAGCCTGTCCAAGAAATCCTCAAAAACATCATCGCTACTAAGCATGCTTAGTCTCAAATACTTGGCATCAGCTCCAAAACGCTTCCCATTTCTCCCCAATATGTTATACCTTCTTAGCAAGCTACCACAATCCTCAGTCTCCTCATTGCACTTCAACCAAGCAAAAGCTGTTCAAACTCACATTAACAACATGCTTTATGTCACCATCTTTATCCTTTAACACAAATTATTAGAAGCTGAATTTAAATCCAGCTCGGACGACTTACCGGGATATGGTTTTGTGGGACGTCCAAGAAAAAAGCAGTGTTGCTGTTCAAAGCTGGGAACACTAAAGAGATCACTGCTTCCAATTGCCTCTCTTAAACTCTCCCATCTTTGGGCCATGAGACGGTTCCCATACTCAAAGAAGTTGTTTGAGGAATTCAACCCAAATTCTTTGTGCTCATTGCACAACAATTCCATTATCTTTGCTGTTCTGAATTGCGAGTCTTTTGATACCCCAATTGAGTTGAGCTCTATATATTTTGTCATTTTTATGGCCACCTCTCTGTCCTTAACAAGTGCCCAACTTCAAAGACACAGAAAGAAACAAAGACATACGAGATCAGATGCATTAATTGAATGATCTCGTCTTGTGTTGTTGGGGACACATAGTCCATTGTAATTATAAAAATGTAAATAAACACCCACCCAATGCGGGAGCCAGCATGTCCGGTGCATTTGGAGAAAGTGAAATACATAAGATCATGATCGGCCGGACGATTGATGGGCATGAACTGGGGCCAGTAATAGGCCAAGTCATGGATGAGCTTGCCTTGGCCGCAATCCTTGACCACTGATTCGCGCAAACTGCCATTTGGGTTGTTTGGGGAGTTGACCACTTCTATGAATGGCCCACTTTTATTAGCGTTGTACTCATTGGCATCCCCCGCCCATTTGTAAAGCCTCGAGCACAGGTAGTCTGTTTCTTCTGGATAACACTGCTCCAAGAAAGTAAACGATTCATTCAGTTACATTACATTCCGCCAACAAGCTGATGTGAAATGATGTAAATCCAATTACAAATTCGAAGGGAAAAAGAAGAAGAAGAAATAGATATGTGATGTGATGCGATGCGATGCGATGCGATGCGATGTGTAAAGTGCATAAAAAGTGGGGGAGGCTCTGATTCTGACCGAGTAGTAAGGAGCAGCAGAAACGACATTAATGGGTTTGAGGGAGGCAGGGGTAGACAGAGCATAAAGGGCAGCCTGGTAGAGCTGGGTGGAACCGGTCCCCACTACGATATATCGGTCATCGACCACGGCGTTGCCGACGAGTCGATGCAATCTGACGATGGCGTCCTCCAATTCCGGCAACAAAAACCAGCAGACCTTGCCGGGCTTGGTGGCGGCTTTGTAGCTCATCAGCTCACACCCTGGGATCACGACCCTGCACTTGTCTCCCATCCTCCTCCAGTATGGCTCGAACACGGTTGGGTTCCCCCTGTCAGTCACCGCCAACAGAATTAATTTAATAACAAAATGTGAGATTAATTAAGACCGAGAGAAAGAGGGTAATGGAGGTTACGGATCAAGATCAATGAGCGACAGGTTGCCTCCGAAGCCATTGGATTCAGTGGAATGGTTGGTTGTTTCAGCTCCACACATCCTTAATCTTTCTTCTTCTTTTGTTTCTGAACACAGAGAGCAATTCCAAATAACAATACAACGGCTTAACCGAAGTGGTGGGGTCGAGTTATTGGATTTTTGGTGTGTTCTGCCTTTCTTTTGGGTGCGCTATTTATAGATAGTTCATCCGAGTGTTTATAGCCGATGCATATGGATTCCCATGAATTTAAATGCTGTAGACAATATCAAATCACATGGTGGAAGTAAATATTGGTTAAAGCAAGAGTTCAAAATGATTAGAAGCGGTTGAATAATTGTGGTGTGTATGAGGAAGAATAAAATAAATGTAAGTTTGGATTTGACGGTAGTTGTTTGGCAGAGCTGGTCTCACAAAAATGGATGCCCAAAAGACACGGGGCCATCCCTTAAAAAAAACAGACTAGAGTTCGGACCGTGATGGAATTGGGCTCGAATTGCTAGTGTTCTTTCTTAAACAAACCCCATTAGAATGTGGATATGATTTGCAGTTGCAGAATTAGACGATTAAAGTGGGTATGTCGATGGAAATGCGACAAAGGGTTTGATCGACCAAGTGGCGATGCCATGCCATGCCATGCCATGCCATGTGCCCCTATCCACTCCTGAACCAACCATTCAACACTGCCATGTGCCCTCTTAGATTCTGTTCCCCACCCCCCTTTTTTTCTCTTATCAGAAGTCAGAACAAACTTCTTATAATCCTTCTTTGATGCATGTGATACTAAGTTAACGAACTTCTTCTAATCTGCCTTCAATACGTAGATATTACTAAATTGTTTTGTTCTACGTTTGAATAATTCTGTTTTGTTTTTTGTTTTGTTTTTGAGCTCTTGAGAAGCTCAGGCTGGTACTGCAAATTGATGGGCCCAGGGAAGGAAAATGAGGAAAACAAACGTAGAAACTTTTTATTTACATGAAAGGGGAAAAAGGGAGGGGGGGTAACTACAGGAAGAGGCAAATGACTTCTTGTTGGAATTCCCTAGCTGTAGACTCTGTAGTGCTATTGCGATCAGCAGTAAGAGCGCCTATGCGTGAGCTTCGTTAGGCAAGGTTGGAGGGTTCTTCCTGAACACATGTTTTCTACAACGTTCAAATATGCCATCATATATGAGATCAAATTGAACTCCTGCTCTCTCCCGATTCACTATGAACATTATGTGATCACCTTCAATGATCTTGTAGTACCTGCAGTTTCAATCAAACTTGACATTAAGATTCAGCTCGAGTGTTCACATTTCCACGCAAAAAAGAGTAACACTTGGAATGCGTCTTCTGAAAGTAGTAGAAGATGGCAGCATATGATAATATGTCTCTTCTTAAGTTGTAGATGATCAGGAATGCATTTCAAGAAAAAGTGTATATGATTTGATACAAACCTCTTTAAACATCAACATCCCAGACTGTCAACTGGGTTTCAAATAAGGATACGGAAAATGGCAAGGAATTTGAGATGTTTCAACTTACCAGATGCCAGGTTCGAGGGGTTTACAATCTGAATCGTTTACGACATGACGACTTGGATGCTCAACTGGAAAACGTGGGTGAGTCATGGATATGGTGTTAAGCGCACCATCGTTGTCTTGCCAATCTTCATCTCTGCACAAGCACCACTACCATTATATTCTGCTGCCCTGATGCATTATCTTTTTCATAAATCAAAACGAAAGTTGAAGGGGTTTTCCTGCTACTTATTTGTTCACACACCTGTAGTCTTTGTAAGGTGGCGCGACATCGGAAGGGTGGCGCCATTGGCTCATCTGCAGAACTCTAATAAAAAACAAGGGATGGATTCTAAATATGCTTGATGGAACCGTGATCCCTAAGATCTTCCTAGTACATTTGGTTACATAGTTAAAATAGTACGTGTTAGGAAAGGTCTGTAATTGGTTGTTGAGATGGATGGAACCCTGTATGGTAAGATCAGGGAGGATCCAGTCTCCAGACGCAAACGGACCCGAATTTCCCATGAGGCAATCAAGAAGACCCCAAATACCCATTTTCTTCCACGACATGTTAAAGTGATCAAACCCAAAGTTATAATATGCTCTCAACCAGGGAATGTCAATCCAATCATATACTATAACGCCCAGGCGGCAGAACTGCAGCAGGGATATAGACTTCATTGATCTCCCATCTTCCGGCCTGGAACAAGTTGACATGAAAGGGGCTAAAATGGTTTATTGGATTAGTTTGATCATATTGGCTGTTAACAAGATCAAAATATTACGTCAGGATGCTAATCTGTGACTATTCTAAACAGTCAAAGCACTTGGAAACTTGGCGAGAAAATAATGTCATAATAGCGACAGACAGGAAACTTTTTTGGGCCACAAGCTTCAAAAAGATATGACAGTTGATAAAAAACGAAGAAGAAGTTATGTTGGTGGAAAAGATGAAAGTGGGTAAGGAACTTACTGCATCCCATCCAAGTAGGTCCTGGTAGTCCCATTGAATACTCCTGATAAGGACGTCATGCTTATTACCCAGTTTGCATTGGTATTCTCATACCCCTTGAATGCCTGAACCAATGAGTAGGTTTCAGATATGTGTTATTATCTACAACCATTGAACTCTGTGTTTCCCTAACCTTGTCGGCGAGCATTTGCTGGAGTACTCGAATGACCTGCGCTCCGGCAGAATGGCCAACAAAGTGAATAGGATGGTCTTCATCCCATTGAGGATAGTGTCCTGCAAATACCATTTGGGATCAGAAGATAAGGGCTGCCGGGCTGCTAGTGTGCTATAGAAGCAATTGTTTTGAGGTAATAATTTAGGTTGTAGAAGGGAGTTAAATATGATATGAAACCTGGTTCATAAAGTCGCCCAAATTGAGAGTGGCCATAGGCGTTGCTGTGTTCTTCCCCATAATCGACTCGTCCGCCTTTGAGATAATAGAACAATTCGCGAGCCCTGGCAAAGGAAAACGAAAAGGGTTGAGAATGAGAAGCGAAAAGGGAAAAGGGAATGAAAGGGGTGGAAGATTGGGTGACCTATCATAAATGCTGGTTAAGGATCCTAGATCAGGGACAAGCACCCTATCGTCTTTCTTCTCGGCCCCCGCAAAGTAGGATAAAGATCCCAATCTCTGCGGAAATGGAAGGGAGGCATAATGAATGAGGGGAGAAAACAAAAGGAGAGAAGAAAGGGAAACGCAGAAAAGGAAAAGAAAGGAAGGGAGGCATAAGGAATGAGGGGAGAAAACAAAAGGAGAGAAGAAAGGAAGGAAGGCATACTCCTTGGCCAAAACCAAAAATTCCATGGACTAAGACAATGGGAGGGAGAGCGTGGGGATTGGGTATTGTGGTTGCAGGGAATCCCTGATGGACGGCAACTTTGGGGGAGGGGGAGAAGAGGAACTGGGAGAGATCCCCCGCGACGGCTGTGCTAAAAATGTAGAAGGCATACACCAAATGAACAAGAGAGGTCAAGAATAACTCCGTCAAAAGCAGAGCATGAATCCAGAGGGTAATCATGATTATGGCTATGCTTTTGATTTGAATCGAAAAAGAAAAAGCAGAAGAGAGGAGAGCCTTCTTGTTCAACCCGAGACGAGAAAGAAGAGAGGGAGAAAGAAAGAAGAGAGGGGCAGGAAGAAGACTCTTGTGGAAATGTGGTCGAATGTGAGTGACCCCGCAGAAGCAGCAAATATATGGGGAATGTCCTGTCCTCTCCTTTCCTGCTCTCTTAGACCACCAAATAAAAATATATTAATATTAGCCAATCAAAACACACCCATAAAAAAGGCGTTTCGGTGATACCTCCACGTGTTTCTTCTTCTTCTCTTCTTCTTCTTCTTCTTCTGTAAAATCATTATTCCTCCATTACTCCTCTGTAAAATTAGTGAGTTGGGTTTTCCGTTGAGAAAGAGGGTGTAATTATTTTTGTTTATATAATCTCAACTTCAGTACAAAGATACATGCCCCAACCCTTCATCATTTTCAACTTTAATATATCTTTTCAAATTCCAATCCTTTATTTATTATTAATGATGTAATGTTTCATTTGTAATGTCTCATTAGTAATGTCTAAACTGCTGATATTGATATTATAGTAAAAATGGTGAATCAAGATTTACAACTTTATGATGTAACAAAAACAAAAAGAAGAATTGTGTCAAGGACACCTCTGGTTTCGCCCAGGTCCACCGTAGTAAAAGTAGTTGCCCCAGTCGGTGTTCATCCCTGCTTCAATATCATAGCACTCCGGATGATCCGCCAATACCATCAGGTTTGTTAATGGAACCAAGCTGTTGTCCCAATCCACCACCTGCAGCTTTCGGAAGTAGGAAGCTTTTCCGAATCCCTCCCCGCCGAAGCGCCCACTTCCCATCTCCGTGCTGGTGTGGAATCCGGAGGGGCTTGAATTCACCACCTCTCCCCCGAACTGCACCATGGTTGCATGCTGTTGCAGATGCGTGAATAAGAAGGACGGCCAGTATCCCACCAGTACTCCCGCTCCGAATTCCAGCCACCAGTTTCCATGCTTCGGATCCTACACCCCCAAAATGTTAATCAGACGCCTAACAAATTGGGACAACTACCTTAGCATCATTATGTCCAATCCCACCTTCCAAACCATCAAGCTGATGTCGAATTGACCGCCATCCAACGAAGACGTCGGAGATATTGTGGCCCCAATGGCCACTTTGTTATTTGTTTGGACAAACCCCGAGCATAGCAGATTGTAACATCCGGTTGCTTGGTATGCGTCCGACTGTTGCAATTCATCTCAATGTCAAATCTCAACCCCACAATTCTTTTTTTTTTTTTTTTTTTTTTTT